TTCCCGCCCTTTTTCCCCCCCCCCCCCCCCCCGCTTCGAGAGCACTAACGGCTGGCGGTTAAAGAGAATTTTCGTCAAAGAAAAAAAGCCTCATTTTCACCTACGACGCTGACATTTTGCCATTATTTTCTCGTTCGATGATCGTGCGAATGGTCGCCAAAAATTTTCCTCGATCGCTGCACCTGTAGGCCGGAGTTCATGATCGCGCCATCGATAATAGTTCGTGTGGTAGCTCAATTTGGGATTACAGTATTGTACAAGTGTATACTGTATATGCCAGGGCTTGGAACTGAAGGTCACTAAAAATGAATATAACGTGACTTTCGCATCTTTTTCGAGACTGTTCCGGTCTTTAATGACTCAATCATCAGATTTCCCAGCGGCCTGATTCCATATACTCGAGCTTACTCGATTCATGTTCATGCATCCCTATATATCTAGCAACTTTATCACTGTAATAACTTGCCTTGAGCTTTATTCTTCATTTTCCGTTCGAAGCCCGACTAAAAAAATTCCATGCGAGTTGATTTCAAATAACGCGTTCATAATTTGGCCTCGGTCATTATTATGATTGATTTATGTTCTACTGACCTCAGAAAATAATTAGGAAGAAAGCTGACATTTTTCTCTGTTTTATTCCTGTTGAATTTTTCAAAGAGCTGCTCAAAATGCTTTAGATCCATAGAACTGAAAGACAGACGTGAACAATGTTCTTGTTTGAGATTACAAGATAGGATGGGGTTTCTAATTATTTCGTAAAATGTGCTATTTGACGGAGACTTCTGATCTTCAAAGGAACAGGTTGAAGTTTTACGTTTTACATTGCCGCCCTAAATTTTTGACAACTTTGAACTTCAAAAAATGCCTTAGAACTCTCAATTAGCCGGTCTGATAGCCCGACGTCTTTTCACGGGTGATGGATCATTTCAAAGCAGGCAAGTCCCAGCCGAGATAAATGAGATTTTTGAGTTGAAATAATGACCTCTCGTGATACTGTAGTTTCGAAAATCCTTAAATACCTGGAAGTGCATGAATGCAGACAAACAAACATGCATTCCGTGAGGAAAATTTCGACGCAAAAATTGAAAGTTTGAATATACTGTCGTTCAGTTGCTTGAACGATTGCAGCAAAGTTGTACGTATTCCCATAAAATTCGTGACGGAGGGGAACAAGGATGACATCAAAATACTCTCAGTCGCTTTATTCCCTCTGACTAGATTTGACAATGCGATCATTAAATGTGCGGATATTCCATTTCGTAACCTATGTTCAAATGATGCTGATGACGTGTGAAGAAAAAAAATTGCGAGCATCGTGTGGCCAGGTGGTGGCGGGTTTGAAAAACTAAAGTACCACCTACATTTGAATAGCTTTGAAGTCTAATATTGTACTGTACCTTTTGCACTGAGGAGAAGGGGAAACAAATTCTTTGCGTGAGCGTTGGCAGCGGGGACTCTGACGCACGACTGAAACGAGGTTAGAGCAGATCCCCGAACCGACTTACGGCTGTTTGAGAGCTGAAAGCCACGCCGACAGAAGCTTCGGACCCGACGAGAAGAATGGACGAGTACATGTTGTCAGCGCCACGAACTGCCTGAAATTAAGCCATAACATCTGGAGGATCCCCGCTGGGAGACAACGCAGCGGGCACGTGGCGGTTGCCCGTCGGAATCGACATTTGATCTTCGCGCCCGAGCTCAGGTTTCCTTTCCGTGACGGCAACAATCACCGAGACTCAGTGGACAAACAAACGCGGAGAACAACCCAGGCACCGTTTACGTCGCGAAACCCCGCGAGTCGTGGGAAATGACTCCGTGCGGTTCGGCAAACCAATATTATTCCGCCGCTTGGTAAGCTCTTTGGTGCGTCCTGGCAGAAATTCAATGCAAAGCAAAGGCTTGGCGGGAATCCAGAAGAGCGTCGCTTCGGACATATGGCGTGTGTTCGTCTCACACGTTTCATGCCGGAAAAAATAACGCTTCAATAACTCGGTCCGCAACCGATGAATGATACCCGGCGCGTTGTTTTCAGCTCTCGCTCGGGCGCTCGACGAAGCGCCGTCTTTCACCCAGCCGTCGACCCGTTTATTGCATCAAGCCGCCAGAGCTGTCTAGTTTTAAGCTCCCGAGTCCCTAATCGGTTCAGATTCGAGAGAACCGGGGTTGGCGAGGCGCTGCATGCACATCAATTGCCCTGGGACTTCGATCCCGGCATCGCGACCCCTCCGCCGAAGGAGAAGAGTTCGGGTGAACGAACACGCTTCTTGGGAACTGTTTTTTCTTCCTGCTCGGCGTTTGTCAGAATGCATTTGCAGCGGGAGTTTGTTGGAGTAGAAGGTGGCGAGGAAAACGCGGCAGGGTGCGAAAGCATTCGAGTATCACTGAGATTTCATTCCCGCCTCAGCAGTGGAACAAGCGGCCGTTGCCTTTGTGTGCCGCCACCATAAAAATGACACGCGGGTGACAGAAATACGTCAGATAACGACGCACCCACGAAATACAGATTGTCATGCTGCCTAATTTTGTGTGTCGCGGAGTATGGGAGGGGGGACGGGGGTTTTGGTCGGTTTGGGGACTCCAACAGAGGAGCATCCGAGGCAGCCAGGAAATTTTGTATTCCCCGGGAAATGTTCCACAGCTGCGTTTCGTTCGCAGTTCGGGGTCGTTCTGTTGCTGCTTGATCCTGTAATCGGGGTGCTGAGTTCCTCGACTGACATCCTCGGCCTGACGCGAGTCTTGCTCGGCCCCTGTGGCGAGTCGACTTGTGAGTACTGGATTCTTCGCAACTGTTTGATCATTCCTTGATGTGGATGCCCTCGGGAGGTCCTGAGTCAGACATCTTCGACACGCATATGGTCTCCGGGATTGATTATTCGGAAGCGTCTTTCATGGAGCATGCCAACATCCCCCATTGTACCACGTATTCTTTAACTTCTGGCGAGAGATCGTGCCTGATCGGGATCCTCCCTGATGTGCTTACGACCGGAATTTCATCCCCGGATCGTGTCGCCACTTTTATCGTTACTTTCGGCCGAAATCCTTTTTTCCCACTGGGAATAAAAAAAAAACCCCCCATCCCATGATACCCTCGCGCTCGAGTCAAAATATTATTTCTGTTTCGTACGGGAAAACGAAGCCAGATTTCTGCGCATTTATCATCCCGGAACTTTCCACGATTTTTTCAACGACACGATATCGAAAGAATTCAGTTTTCATCGAGACTCGGAGTCTCCTTTTTCCGATTTCAGAGTGCCAAAATCTTCTCAGAGTACGTGTAAATTTTAACTTTCCACGAATTATAAAAACAGACACACTTCTGTCTTACCTTGAAGAGTTCGCGATCAAATGAAACCGACACGCTTGAACTTAGCGTCAAGGATGCGGTCTAATTACCGCGGATGAATATGACATGTACAGCCAGGTATGATTCGTTTTCTGCAACTTCTCCTGTTCTGTTTTTTTTTTTTTGGCGAAGTATCGTACCTTCGCCAGAAAAAAAACATGCAGTTTCCTTTTAAATTGTATGCCACATTGTAGGTAAGGAGTTTAATTGAGACCTTCTGAATGGGGAAGCAATTTTACGCTTGAATGGCAACGCAATTCGAAAAATGAATTCAAGAGAAGGCGCGAGCAGCGAGACTGAGCCTCATGTGGACTGGATTTCAACGAAGAGGATGTGATGCATTTAGAAGGTTTCCATTTATTCCGTGAGCACATCGCTCTGCATTTCTCACACACAAGCTGATACAAGGAACAAATGGGTTGAGATACAAATTTGCGTCCCAGCTAAGCGAGTGACGTTCCGTTGTCAAAGCGGAACCACTCACAAATTTCGCATGGCGACGGTATTCGTTCCCAGATTCCGGGTACCCCGAGTCTAGCCATGTATAGCCAATATTTCAGTCTGTGTGACGGAAAAATGGCGACATCACGTAGGATTGCATTTGCATATGAAAAGCAGTCCTCTTATAAACCATCGGAAACGGGTTCAAAGCAGTTCTTCAGCCAGATTTTCTTGGTTAATGAATTCTGTGACTGCAGGAACCCAGCCTCCTGTGCTCCGTAAATCACCGACATTTCTCTTCCTCTTACAGCCCTGTTTTTCGCTTGTTTTTTCACAGACAGAAAATATGACGGTGCTGGTGATCCTGTTCGTCGTCATCGTCGTCGGGAACTCTGCTGTACTCGCTGCTTTGTTGCTCTCGAAGAGCCGCAAAAAGCGGATGAACTTTTTCATCATGCAATTGGCAATCTCTGGTGAGGACTGTTTGTTGTTTTCCAACACCAGTGAACGACGAAATCAAAGTCGTTGGATGTTTTTCCCCGCGTTCCTCGTCCTCTCATAAGCGAATGCCTTTCCCCGCATAGCGCCGGCTCTTAGCGTCTGTAATTTCATCTGCCCATGATCAAAAGAAAATGCCTCGGAGGCAAAAATATGGAGTCCATCGGCGCACTAAATCAGGCAACCCCGACCGTATCCGGAAGTTGCTTGAGCAATGTTTTGATCTACGGAATGCTGCACCGTTTAGTCATTCTGTGTATTCTATATAGTGACGGTTTGCGTTTTACCTTAGATCTCCTCGTGGGCCTGATTAGCGTGACGACAGACGTCGCTTGGAAGATCACGGTCTCGTGGAACGCTGGCTTGATAGCCTGCAAGCTCATTCGGTATTTTCAGGTTAGTCTGTGTTGGCGTATCTGTCCTTGGCTCGACCATGAAGATAGAATAAACTTGTGGATATCTTTCGACTCGGAAACCTTGGTCTTCCGGGCTATTTTTTCCTAATCCTCGTAAATATGCATAAGTTGCATCGACCAAACCGCATGAGACATTAATCGAATACTAAAACCGCAAAAAGGTCACTATTAGATTATCTTATTTTCTGTATGTGATTTTAGGATTTTTTCACCTGTTTATACTGTAGTCAGGAATCGAGTGGGCGAGTTCCGATGAGAGATCAAGGCCTTTCGACCTTCACATAATTTTGCTTGCGTCTAAAACGTCATTGTTCGAATTCATGATGTGGTCGAATTCATGAAGTGGGAGATATCTATCCTGGTTTCTGATATGATGTAAATATATTTACTTCTCTCTCAATATTTTGATACTATAATGCATTAGTTTTCGATTGATTCACATCTCTTATGCTCATTTTTTACGTGTAAATAATTCACATAATTCCTCCATCAGCTGCTTCTAATTAGCTTTATGGACTTGAGGGTCAACGTTTAACACTGAACAGCTACAATGTTCCTCGTGAACGATTCTGCGAACTCCTCAAGTACCCCTCGTACTATCATTGATGGAACCTAGGTGATCCGACCTCTGCATCTACGAAAATATTAATACTTCGAAGGGTTTTTCTAGAGAAAACTGGAATTAATTGAACGGATTACGTGACTAAAATTGATAGGATAAGATCTTAACTATTGCGCGCCTCTACGGACTTAATGATGAAGGACTAATGACAAAGCTGCCTTGAAGGAGCAAAACAAAGATGCCTCGGATTGCGTTTACGGTCCCAATTTCAAGCGGAAGAGGTATTACTGAAAGGATCCATTCTCGCGTTTCATTGAAAACGAAGGGAAGTTCAATCTGAGCTCGACAGTGCGACGCATCACTGTGTAATTATTTGCAGGAATGTTTGCTGGAAAATGCCTCTGAAGGGTTGTTCCTTCCCCGGCAGTCCGAGATGATCTCATCAACTTCGCTCTTGATTATTCCGTCCCGAGCTGAAATCACAGCGATGGAACGTCGTCCCTACTCTATATACTGTAGTTACACGCTGAGCACATCCGGCAAAAATTTATTCCCGTCACTTACGCGCATCTATCTGTTGTTGTCCGGGCACAGTTTCTGGCACCTAAAAAAAAAGAAGCAAAAATAAGGGACAGACGTCGCATGTTTGCTAGTTATGACAGGCCAAGCCTCGACCGCTATTTTAAGCCTCATCTTTCCGTTGACGGAGCGTCAAAGAATGTTGCGTCTGGTAGGGAAATGACAATGGGATACTTCCTGAACCGAATAGAAACGAGAACGAGGGTTCGCGGATGAGGCAGAGAGAACTGTGCGAAGATTTAAGCGACAAAACAGTCGACGCCGGGCATGATACAAGCATACGACTAATGCGAATGTGTCATAGAATGTTTCGTAACAAAATTGCACGTGACATTCGAGCTTCCGCGTCAGCTCTCCTAAGGAATACTCCGGCATGCGACGAAATATATCATACGTTCATCGGAGCACTATGCAATTTCCTGCCGAACCATTAGGACTGCAGCGTGTAGAGTTTGTCACACGTCACGCATGGAACCTGCATCAAACCAACAGCCTGAACGCATCTTGGAGTTTCCGTTGAATATTTAAAACACAGCGTGGGATCCAATTTCAAATTTTCCGCATCAGAAATCAAATATTCCGTCGGGTGTTTTTTTCTTCTTTGACGCGATGAAGGAATTAAGTATGGTATTCGCAGGCGAGGCTTGTAGCTCATGTGCATTTTTCAAAATTTCCGTTCACCTAAAGCAAGTTGTGATCAAATTATAATTACGCTCCAATGACAGGGGCTTTGAAGCCCCATATTATTTTTGAATTAGCGCGATGTTTGGAAGGCTTGTGGCGCTAATTTCGTGCACTCGCTGAATCAAGCTCTCATACAACCCAGCATTCAACGGTGGAAATGACCCATTGCGGACAGGGAATTACTGAACATGCCTCGTATCTGCTGTTTCTTCATGCCAGACGGCTTCCCGTCACGGACATTTTTTTTTTATTCCGGGAAAAAATTTCCCTTCTCTTTTACCCCTTGAGCGACCACTGGCCACAGCAGGTTCTTAGCAGAGAATGAAAGAGGTCCATGGAGGAAATGATAAGATTTCGTTGGTTTCCCACTGGGTCGCGTTTATCATGCATTTTTTTTTAGTCTCACGGAACTTATTCATGAATGATCGCCAAAACTGTCAAGACTGTCGCGAGAATGTAATTTCAAATCCTACCGGCTCGTAAACATCGGGGACATACTCCGGAAATCGCGGAAAACATTCAGGAAATATATCAATAGCCCAAGGACGTTTTGAAATACTTCCGCTCGCCTTGTTTGATGGCGGTGTATAGCATCCTCAATCCGCATTATAGGCCCTTCTTCTAATCGATTGCGCGGTATTTCGTTCGCATCATGTGATTCGTAAATTCCATTAAATGAAGGGCCAATTTTGTCTGCACTCTACAGTAGCACCATTTTCTTAATGCGATACTTCGATTCATCCGTAGAGGATTTATTTTACTTACTGGTGAACGATGAAACAAGCTTTTCTGGCGGAGATGACAAAAGTATTCTCAGCAGATTCGGATTCCGTTCGTTTGACATTACAGTACGGAAATTTTTCAGCTAATTTTTCATCTTTTAACAAAATATTTCAAGCTGAAGTTTTACAGTAATTCTATGGTCATTCTTGTGTTACAATTTTTCAAATTTTTCGTTCACACATTTTTGCCACCAAGGATTCTGGAGCTGACAAAAAGTGAAGGCTTTGTATTACCGATAACTCCTTCCACGTCTCGGAAATTTAGAACATGAACTTTTTCCCCATGAAATCGCCAGAAAACAACATGTGTGAAAAATTTCCGAAAAACTTTTTCAATGATCCCCTTGCTCACCGCATTTCCGAGTGACATCGAAGCTTCAGTAGCCGCAAATTTAAGTACAGAAAATGTAAAAAAAAAAATTGCAGAAGTCGGCATTTGTAGATAGATTCAGTTCGTGGACCAAAAAAGCCAATAATTGTGCTTTCGATGGAGATATCTGAGAAGTGGGAAAAACTCAATACGACATTTTTGACAGCTGAATACTTTTTCACCGCGCGCGGGTCAGACACCCCTTGTGAGAATAAAGCTAAACGACATGATTTTTTTTTAAGTTTAGGCATTCATTTTATTAGCTATTTGGAGGTGATTGACCTTCCAAAATAAATGAGGTAAATTTCCCATGCGTGGAAACATGGTCGCTCCGCGTCCAGGATGCATCAGAACTCAGGGTTTAGAATCCTCCGGTGTTTGCCAAGATCGTTCTATTCCCTGTTCCTATTCCTGTTCACAGGATACACGAAATGCGAGTGTCGGGATTTCCCCCAATGTCAGATCAATGGCGCTTTTTGTGGAGGATTTCAGAGACCCAATAACGCTTGATCCGACAGGATGCTTTGTTGAGCGCAACTGCTCCTGCGAGGACGCAGATTGAAATCCACGGATTAAAGGCTTCCGCGCGGCTCTTGCCCGAGGCCGTTTTCCGATTCGGTGGTCCCGCGAATGATCCCTGCGAGTTGTGTGCCGGGTTGCAGTCACATGGGTGGCAGTGGCCAAAGTCCATCCGATTACCGCATGGTATCGAAGACCGTGAAACGGCCCGTTCTCGTCCCAGTCTCCTCAACTTCGTCCGGCCTAGACCTTTTATAACCCATACTTCTCTTACATCTCCACAAGGCCGAAGAAGCGAACGAGAATTCTGTGCACGAATTTTTGTACCTTAAGCTTCCGGGGACCGGGTTTATTACAAAACAGTCATCCCTTGCTTCCAAAGAATTTTTCCAAAACGTTATCGTTATTGACGAAATGATGAGGTAATTTTTTAAATTCCGAAATTAACCGATTTTACGCCACGTTCTACTAAAACCTACACCTTAGTTCCCGGCATTGGTTGTAGGGGAAAATATTGCCAATTTCTCTAAAAAAGACTAGAATTTGGAATGAAACTTTCCGTCTGTACAAAGATTAAAACTGCCGATTACCCTAAAGAATATACCAGGGGAGAATTAAATTTGAAATGCAGTGCATCATCTTTAGATCCCTTCCAATTGAAAATGAATGTGATTGAAACGCTAGAATCCTTTTTTGTGCCTAATCGATCTACAGTATTTATGTTTGTATTACCGACGTACAATATACAGTAGTATTGACCGCTTACATGCGACTGAGGAATACAGATAATAATTTGTTTACGATTGGACTCCCTATATTTCGAAACATGATTCTAGAAATGTTTCAAGGCTCTATTTTGGCGGAGAACACTTTCAACGCTCCTGCTTCCAATGATATCTTCACGTACACTGATCACGTATTTTTCGCATTTCCAGTGGTTTGCGGACCGGATATTCTATTCCGACTTCGTGGTCTTCTCGGTGAAGTGAGGTAAACCGCGTCGTTTCAAAGCCGGTTTATAATTACAAGCTGTCGAAATAATTTCCGTCTTAAGGTTACTTCTTTGGCACAGAAGTTTGGCTAAATCCAGCGAAGCCTGACGTGACCTCGTATGATGTGAGGAAATTGAAAAAAGTCGGGCGATGTAAAAAATCACAGGAGAGAAAAAGCTTCTCGTTTTGAGGATTTTTGATACCCCGCGGAAGTGAATCGGAGCACTGTCGAGAAGTACAGTATCGGTTTTAAGTGAAATCGGATCCTTGCGTCAACTTCCGTATTCGTGGTGGGAGTAATTCTGAAACAGTGTTCGAATGGTGTTTGCTTAACGAACTGAGCACGTTGACGTTCCGCTGAGAGCAACGAGGTGCGGAGAAAATCAATCATACAGACAACGTGCTACACGCATGGAAAGCCTCGACGTGGAGGCGGTTAAACGCGGCGTCGAAACGCATGCCGGGCGGCGAGGCTGAGTCAGTGAAAGATGTCACATTCTTGCCTGTGTTCGTAGAAAGCTCGGCAGATCAGAGCCTCAATGAGCAACCGGAGCCGGGCGTCCGTGACAGCCAGTAACAAGGGAATGTCCAGAAAGTGAAATATGAAATACGAGTGAAGGCCTGGGGTCGACATGCGAAAGACCCGAGGTCTCGGGTCGCGGCGCAGGGCCGAGATTGAAAGATGAAGCCAATTATCCGGGAAACGAGGGACTTTGACAAATGAACCGCAGCGGGGAAAGAAGGCACAAACGCAGCTTCTTCATGATGCTGCGACCAGCAGCCGGTGTCAGTTGCGGTTCCCCGCGGTGACACAGTTCCATCTCTAGCCCGGCGTTTTGCCTCATTGCGATCGAGTCGTCCCGTCTCCGGAACCCGGGACTGGTCGGGATTCGTTACTCCTGAATGCAGTACCTCCCCGCTTCTGCGAACGCGGGGTCCGGGTTGCGACGCGACCGAAAAGATGCGTTGCTCTCTTTGACCCAGACAACTTGACAATCGTGCGCTTGAACGAAAACGGATTACGTCGCCCTAGAATACACATAGACGTCATCCATCCAAGACACTGCGGCTCGAGCCACTCCCGCGGTGCCCGAAATACCTGCCGGAGAAGCCAACATTGGTTTTCGCACTCCCTACACCGCTCTTAATGAATAACCGCTTTTAGCGGAGCCATGGATCCGTCGCCACGCGCTAACCCGTCCACCGACCTGTCATCTTCTCTATTAAAGACACTGAAATCCCTCATTCTGCACGATGCGTCTTGAGCGCTGTCTCGCCGCTTCCATTCCCGCGACCGCGTTCCGAAACACTGTTAAGAGTCTTGTTTGCGCATAGCACCAGAAAACGATCAGTTTCCATGAACTTTTGCACATCTGGCGCGAAATGAGTCTCTCGGTCAGCATCGTCACTTGCGTCGTCAACCACTCGTCTTCCGTTTCCTGCCAACTCGACGAGGCGAAAGAGCGGGGGGAGTAAAAAAAAAAGAACAGAAAAAAGTTGGGCAAGTTTCTGCGGCGGGAAATAAAAACACGCCTGGGATTGTTCGCTAATAGTTCCGCCGGCTTGATGGCTTGTTCCAAGAGTGACGGAGTTTCCCTCTCGACACATTCCTGCGTGGTCACCAAGGGCTTTATTCTCCACTGGCCGCGTTCGCCTGTCGCCTCTTAAAACTGCTCGCCGTCGTTGCTGGAATGTTAACGCTTCTGGAAAGCGACTCTCGATCTCAACAGCAGATGGATGCCCTGAGATTTGGGTACCACTGCGATGTTACACGCTCCTCTAACTCACTGAGACGCGAGAATGTCTGAGGCACTTTCCAAATAATGGTTCTTGGATCGCGCGAGAAAAATACTTGGGCAGATTATTCAGAGTGCTAACGTTTGCATTTCGATGTCCCTCGTCTTCCTTTTCGATGAAAGGTGCACATTTAATGTGATGTTCGATCGCAACAGCTGAGGACAGGTTGTTTCGGAAAAGCGAAAACTATTTTTTCGCCAACATAATTAATATTTCTTACACATAAAAATTAAAAAAAAAACTCATTGTATAGTCCTGCCATATCGAAAAAGTTTCTATGAAAATACTCAAATTTATGAATCGATTGCCAATCGAAACTCGAATAAATAAACATAATACTTCTGCTTCAGATATTATTTTAAATCTTGTAATGATTCTGCCTGATCTGAAAAGTAGATCCGATAAGATCGCGCTATATTTTGTAAGAATAACAGTGAAAGATCCACGAAAAAATGCCAAAGTAACAAGCTGTAGAATGGACTACAAGTAATTCGGATAGTATATTTTTCTGAAGAAAAAACCCGAAAAGGAGATGGATGGCGAGGCGACAAGAAACTGATTTTTTTGCAATTAACGTGACGGCATGAGCATAAATGATTGCTGTTCTCTGGTTTTCACAAACATATTGGTTGTCGACGCAGATTGGAGGCAGGTTCATCAGGAATTCGGTAAACCATACTGCTCTGGGATGTTGATTGCACCAGACCCAAAGCAGGATTTATATTTATTTGGAGCACATCTGATCGCACGACTGATCCCTCTTTAGAAGAACAGGTGGTACCTCGCAATTCGACCGTCCCGCAATGCGACGGTCGAATTTGCAGGGAGGTTGACTTGCAATTCATCCCTTGCCCTGCAATTTGACCTGCTTTGGCCACTTTTTTTGCGTTTTTTGACTTATATTTTATAATTTAATGAAGTGTCTCGCAATTCGACCCTAGTTCGGCAACAGATTAGGGTCGATTTGCGAGGTACCACCTGAATTTGGTTCTCGGTTGCAGTTATTTTTTTTCATTCTTCAAAGAGTAAATTCTCAACCAGTCTCTAAAATTGTTGAACGATCACCCAGTCGAAAAACATGGTTAGTTATTTTAGATGTAATTCACTTCGAGAGGAGGTGGAAGTTTCGATCTATAATTTTGTGTGATGATGAGAGTGGTGTGCAAGGGTGTGCCAGCATAGATGAGTGATGGCACAAGCTAGCAGCGTTAAAATTGATTTGTTTTGCCAGCCTTGTTCGCACTGATGATGCTCGGTTTTGTTTCGGGAAATTGTTTCCAAGTTCTCTGGGACTGGCATCCTATTTCACCATCTGTTTTTGAATGCTTGACTAATGGACGTCATGGGCTATAATCTGTGTACACCTTTTATGCCGGGTGCAGCGAAAGGACTAAGGAAATTTAGGAAATGTTTATTGCTTCTTCCCATGAGTTCGAAAATTTATTTATTTTTTCTGCTGAAAGATCAGCTGTCTATTTAGTTTTTCGCCGAATGATATCATTAGAACTTGTATTCTAAAAAAAAATATTCCATGCCTTTTACGATAAATTGTGGCATGCGTATATGCAAGGCCGTGTCACCACTTGAACCCGCTCAAACTCACTTTGAGACGTCGAAAATGATCGCTGACAAGGGAGCAACAAATTGCTTCACCCTTGAAATCGTTTCCCGTTCGTCTTCTTACAGGGCGTCGTTACATATTCATCCAACTATGTCCTGGTGGCGTTGAGTATCGACCGATACGACGCAATCGCACATCCAATGAAATTCCACGCTGGGTCTTGTGAGTCGATGATAGCGATTTTAAATGTGAAGCTCAACGAATTCGAGGCGAGCAATTTGTTTTTCTAGGGGTTAAAGCTCGATGCCTTGTTTTCCTCGCGTGGTTCACCAGTTTCATCGCTGCATCTCCGCTCCTGTTTCTAAATGATCTTAGCGTTCAAGAGGGTAACCGATACATTTACGAGACCCTTAAAGGGGAACACAGCCTCATGTAGGACTTCATCCATTCACAGGGCGGATGCAATGCTGGATCCAACTCGAACCGGCCCACTGGCAAATATACATTACTCTGGTTTTCGTGGCTTTATTTTTCCTCCCGGCATTCATCATAGCTGGATGCTACATCGTAATCGTTAAGACAATTTGGAGCAAAAGCAAAGCGGTAGTCACATGCAAGAGGAGATGGTACGGGAAAGGTAAAGCAGAGCTTTGGATACCCGACAGGGTCATCAGGATCATAATCAGAAAATTCTTCCCTTTTCAGCGAACGTTGAGCAAAATCGTTCTTTATCGAGCTTCGCCGAAGACACGGATATTCGGCGGGCCAGCTCTCGAGGCATAATTCCTCAAGCAAAAATAAAAACTATCAAAATGACGCTGATCATCGTATGCGGTGAGTTATTGACGAAAAAGTTGTGAGATACGGGGAAAACCCGCGAAATAAACGGTGCGTTGCTGCTTGCAGTTTTCATCTCTTGCTGGAGCCCCTACGTGGTGTTCGATCTCCTCCAAGTTTACGGATTACTCCCATATTCACAAACTACGATAGCGGTTGCCACATTTATTCAGAGCCTGGCTCCTTTGAATTCAGCCGCTAACCCGATCATCTACTGCTTGTGCACGACGCACATATGCTCCAATCTCCGGTTAGTTGTTTTGAGTTTTAAAATTTTCCGCCCGCGGATACGTAGGATTTGCCTAACTCTCTTCAATTTCCGCTGTGGAATGCGTCCCGGATTTGGAATTTGAAAAACATCAATGCTTGAAACAGGACTCAGTGACTTCCAGAGCAATCTCGTGAAAAATCTTGATAAACCGAAAACAAGCTCTGCAGATGTTTCCGAAGCGACAGCACGTATTTTTCTGCTATTCTGCTCTTTAGATGACTTCTGCACTCCGACTTCTCACAACTAACTATAACATCTGCTTGTTTACACGCGATCCTGTAGTTGCTAGCCACATACGGTGTACCTCTATTCTTTCTTGTCTCTTAGTATAGTGGCATGTTATTTCTTGTACACCACGTATGTACCTTTAGCTGCCAATAAAGGGAAGAAATCCAATATCATTTGACTCATGCACGATGCAACGTTCATTCGTAAAAAAAAATACATATGCGCCACAAATTCTAGGGAATTTATATCACACGAACAGATATTTCCGGAAAATAAGCACGCTTCGGAAACTGTAGGCACGATTTTCTTTACAAACCGCTGGACTGACGCTTAAAAATACTGTATAACCCTCATATGGTGGAACTGGGTTCCCAAGTATTTACTATTCCGGTTCATAGCTAATGTATCTGAGATTAAGTGTCACGATCCGGATGCGAAATAGCTTGCACTATTCTGCCAATTAAATATATTATAACTCAGATTCTCAGCGTTAATGGCGGTGTGCCTTAATTTAAATAAAAGGAAATCGCGAAAAATAAAGAAAAGATTCAATATACATTTCATGAGGGATTCAATATCGTATCACATTTACGCGCTCCGCGGAACGTCTGTCAAGTGTCAAGACCATACAGTATATAGATTGTAATTTGTCGTGATAAAATTTTGCCGTAATGCTACAATCATCTTTGCTATCCACATTCATTTACCCGGAAAATCAGGGCTCTTGATTTTTTTAATAATCGAAAACAGAATTTTCTGTAGAAAAAAAAAAAAAACCGGAATGACCTTGCATTTTGCAGCAAACATTCCCATGAATCTGGATCATTGATATACATAGAAATGCCTATAGTAGGTTGCTCGGAAGGAAAATAAGTGACTCAAGTGGATTGAATGAGGTACCGATTGTTTATACGGTCACTTTACTTTCTTTCGCTGAATTAAACGTTGGGTGCGATTAATCGTAATACCGGTTAATTTTAGTACAGTACTAGTGCTCAACTAAACTCTAGGATGGTTGGAGTGAGGAGGTACCCCGGTTAGAGGCCTGTATCAATTCGCTATCCTGAGGGAGATATTATCTCAAGATAGCAAATCGGTCCGAAAACCATCGTGTGCAGCAGCTCCAGGCCGTGATGAGGAACGAGGCCGCAATCTGATGCAAAATTTGATTAATGTATCCCATGGGTGAATGCATAAATGCCGCTAACCGGAGTTGTACGACAGTCAAGACTTGAGATCTATTTTCGATTGTTAGAAGACGATAATTCTTTTTTTTTTCCTCCGATTGGGAATGGAGAAGAAACTTCGGCGTAGATGATGGTATATAAATTGACCAATTGAGAGATCTATGTATCATTTTGTTAGGCAAATCAAATTCATTGATTGGCTGGCGAGGAAATTCTGCTGTTGCTGCCCCGCCAACGGCGCCGGGGACGACGCGAGTTTCCAGCGGACCACCACGCAACACACGACGACGACTGATGGCCGGACGGGCCGAGGCGCAAACGCTGGCGCCATCCCGCTCACGGCGCGTCGCGGCACCGACGTCCAGCAACGCATTAACGGCGCCGCTGGGCCCAAGAAACACGCCGTGTTCGTTCACGATGCGTTGTACAAAAGCAAGAGCGCATCGGCCGCCACAGACGCCGCGGAGAAGTCTTCCCGCCGGGCTCTGTTGGCAGCCACGCGATCTCAGCCCGGCGACATGGACTCCGAGATCGTCTCGGAGGCGGTTTGATATCCCTGTTTCGGGGCGGTTCGCTCCACGTGAGGACACGTGAGTTACCAGAGGCATACCGAAATCGATGCTGGTCTTCGTCGGGAGCAAGAGGAGAGAAAAAGAGAGAGAGAGTGAGTGAGAGAGAGAAAAAAGGAAAACGCCGAACTTTTCGCCGCAGGCATCGAAAATCATCAGACCATTCCGGAGATATTCCTCTGCAAATAATTCCCGATGAAAGTTGACGCATACTTCGGCTATATCTATCTGCACACGACTCTCCGTTAGCCCGTTTCAAGCGAGGCACTGCTTCGTGCCTGAATCAATATTGCACAGTTGCTCAAGTGTAACATCCTTTTCTGAACCGCTGGGAAACTCTGAAACTTTGTATCTCTAAATTAAAATAACGACTGTTTCAAATTTGGAAGGCTGGTGTTTGCATTATGAGCGGTAAGACTGTCTGCATGGCTGATTCAAGCGGTGCAGTCACGCGATTCGGAAGCCCTCATTTTATTCTTGCGTGTGGGTCGAGTTGCGTCGATGTTCTGTACGTTGCAAATGTTTTGTGACGAAGACGCAAAAGTGTTTTGCACAATGTCACGATCCCGAAACAGGGAAATAGTTAAGTGTTCGCTTAGAAATCAAAGCCATAAGCATTTCTCGATCTCGGTGGGGTGTTTGATGTCTCTGAAAGGTTTCGTTCTCGTGTGAGGTTCGTAAATACTTATTTTAAAGAAATTTCCGGTGAAATTTTTCGTTATTTTTTATTTGCTCGTTCACTGATTTTTTCAGTCCGCCAAGCTACATAGCACGACATTTTCAGGAAAAGAATATGTTTCTTCATTTTTCCGGCGAAATTCCCGATATCCGAGTGAACGTAAGATGTTTCCCTTTCGAAAACAAAGATTTCCTTTTGACTACGAAGGAAACCTGATGCAAACGGTTTCAAAACCAATGCGCTTTTCGGGAGGGTTTACGGAGCGGAAGGCAACAATATACGTCTAAAGATCTTTCTGAAGTTCGGTGTCTAATTAAAAAAGAGAAAAAAAATTCCTGAAATGTTTTATGATGTTTCGTCGTGCTTTTGGATGTCCAGAAATATATATGTTCCGTGTAGGAGCGAGAAGATCAGTTGTCCGAACACGCCGCATCACCTTCTTTTTATAGTGTATGATGAAGAAAAAAAAATACTGAAGGGTGCCTGGGAATAACTTTTGAGACGCAGGACTGGGCAATGCACTGAATGATTATTGGTTGACTTCACCCATTTCTTCGATGTTGGAAGTGTTGGGCGTTGCGTGCACGAGATAAAAACCGTCATTCCAGCTTACATTCACTACACATGTTGTGACTCTGCTGCTACGTTCCGACTGGGATAAAACGGGTCATCAACTCGGCGAAAGAGACGGGGATCATCTCTCACTATGATCATCATACCGTGTCCTCGCTGGCAATAACAGCCCACAGTACTGAGCATCCCGAGGGACCAAGTACAGATTTTGACCCGACCGGAACAAATCAAAGTCTGACAGCTTGCGCGTTCCGAAGGCTCATAAAAGTTTCCTTTTTATTTAGGGGGCGCTTCCTGTCATTTTATGCGCCAACACCGGGCGGAACAGTCATTCAGTCATTCCTGTACTTCTTTTTTATCCTTGTGGATTCCTACGAACGGAAGAAATATTTATTGAAGAAGGAATACACTTCGTCCACCATTGCTTGGACTAAAACTGGATCTAGTAAATCCTCTTCAGTCTCTTTGAATTCGTTCATATGTACTCGTCGACAATTTCCATTCTTCTTCTCGGCAGATTCGAACGGTACACATACCACAATGACAAGGAAAAATAATCCCTCTCTCGGGGAAATGTAGTCACCCAACCGTCCTGACTCGTGAGTATAGGTCTCTTACTGAAGATGAATGCGACGAGTTTTGCGTCATAAAATGCAATTAAAATCCCGTAAATGTCTTCTTCTTGGCCCGCACACTCCTTGATGACTGCAAATCTCCATCCTTCGATTTCAAATGTTATGAGATCTAAGAAGGCAGTTTTCATGCGTACGCAGAAATTGATTTGAACGAGAAAAACAGGGTCGACTGAAAAAAGCACAACTTTGTAAATGGCCCTTTCCAATGCTGTTTCCAAAGTTAGGGATTTAAAATTTTGAAACTGTAAATTAATACTCATTTACATTTTTCCGTACCTTTGTCGTTTTTGAAATATCGTACATGCGTAAATATGATCAAATAGTCCTATTACCCGAAATTTTAAAAATCCTTTTTATAGACAAATTTTATTTCGAAGTATCTTCTAAATTAGAGAATTTCGAAATATCGCATTTACCATGTACATGATATATTTGAACGATTGAAAGTTATAATTATACAAATAGTCTGCCATAATTTCACAACAAACAATTTCATATACAGCCCACGCATTTCGCAAAGATCATCATGAACTCTGAAATTCGATTTTTCGCAGCATGCATCCATACATTGGACAATTACACTTGCATTTGCGTTTACAACCCCGGTTGCTATTTTGGTGAATAAATTTTAATTTCAAAATGTTCGAAATCGCTATGATAAAATATGGTTTGCAGCCAGATCGGACGACCAAGGTATCACGATTAATTATGCGAATCGAGTTCCTTGACGCGCCATTGAAGGTTAAATTCTACATTGCCGCATTTGTTCACGCTCTGTACAAGACGGTAGCGAGATAAAAAAAATACTGTAACTGAGTCTTCCAGTTGGGTAAAGATCATGAAATCGCGTCGGATTAGCCGGTGGATCCAGCGAACTTGTTGAGGTACTCTGTGAAAAGGATTCATCTATTCAATGGACTGAAAACGCTTTCCACTGGAAACATCGTCACTTCTACGCGGCCTCTCGTGACGCGCGAGGTAACATCGCCACACAGAGAACCGTCTCTTCAAATTACTCCGAACATTTTCCACAGTTCTGCCCAGGAAATTGTGCACAAACATCAGATACACGATGACGTACACGAAGGATTCGCAACAAACGATCCCGATGGCCATGTCATGCAGCACGCGCCATTTGAAATTAATATTTGACAGTTTCTTCTCTCGGATCAGCTCGCGATCCACATGCAGGATTTCGATCTGGAAAATGTGGCCTGGGATCCACACGACGAGGAAAAGGGCCACGATGGCACTCATGGCCTTCGTCGTGCAAACACGAGCCCGAGACAACGAGTCCGTGTTGACTTTCTGCGAGAGCCCACTCAGCAGACAAAACATCCGGCCGAACATTACGAGGATGCAGACGCAAGGGCCGACATAGAACAGCACCACCGACATGGAATGGAGCACAACGAGTAACTGTCCCTCGCTCTCGGATTTGTAAAAGCAAAAAATGATGAACTGCTGCCTCGAAACCCCTCCCGTGACCGATTCCGACGTCGAGTACGTCCGGTTCGGCAGCGGGATTTGAATCTGATGTGTGACGTGGTTCTGTTTCGGGTTCTCCAGACTAACGTAGAGGATCCCGAGTCCCAACTGAGCATACACCACGCTGTTGTACGCGAAGCTCATTATCCAGATTGCTAAGACCACCACGACAGCCAATGTCGTCGACGACTCTCGTTTGTTGAACTTGTGGTTCGTACTTGAGCGGTATCGCTCAGCAGTGATGGCTGTTAAGGAAAATATTTTTGCGCCTGTCGCGGACAGCAGCACGATATCCATCCATTTCAGTGAGTGGCATGAGTTTTCGTCGTGCGGGATCACGCTGTACTTCCTGCGAACAAACAACGAAGATTCACCGGCTGGTGCAAAATTTTCCTGACGAACGAGCGACATCTGTTTGCTTTCTTCCTTAACTCATTCGCAGCACCTTTTATGAAACGGAAACATAAGGAGCTCACCCAACGAAATAACCAGGCTGCAAAGGTGTGATGATTCCGATCAACAAGCTGGCCAAACTCAAAGATACTAAAAGCACTGAAGATGACGTGGCTTCGCTTCGATTCTGATACAGAAGAACAATTAAGATCACATTCGCAACCACCACAGATACTCCGATTGAAACGGATATGATCATATGCGTGAACTCGTAGCCAGTTGCATCTACCATGACGCCTAGAACTCACTTCCAAGAACCATCAACTTAGAACCTGTTTCAAAAGAATCACGAAGTTTTGTTAGAAGCACCGAGACTGCTTGTTAATGAACATCTTAACAAAATATTCTTTTTAATCATCTTCGCTGGTAACTGCTAAAAAAAAAAAAAAAGGGAGCACAACCGAAGAGCTCTTTCAAAAGTGGAATCTTTCTAGACTGATGAGGATGAGATTTCCAAAAATCCGTTATGCAAATAATTTAATCGAAGAGGGGCTGCTCATAACCTCAAAAAATAGTCAGCCTCAATAAAAGGCTGACTATAGGACCGGAAAAAATCGATATATGTTTTAATTGTTGGCGTACCTGCATTAATGCTTATTTCGTACTGCATCTGCAAACAAGACAAATTATTTTTTGGAATTGTCAATCAATAAAATGCAGAGTCGGGTTTTTATTTTTCTGTCAATGCGAATGTATTTTGATTTGGAATTTGTATTTAAATGGGAACTAATTTCCACGATTTAGCGAAGACCTTGTTGAGCAGACTGCGGAAAGTACCTTTCTCGGGAAAGATCGCGAGAATTGTGCACCTGCCTGACACTACTGGAAGCGCATCGACCGATGCATACGCTTCATCAAGTTAGCGAGCACCTGTGTCTGCCTATCTTGTCTGTCAACTTGTGATTTCGATGATCTATAGATGTCTGAAGGAGACAGCAAGTGGGCGAAAGCAAGAGATAAGGAACAAGGGCCACGAGCGCTGGGAAACCGGAAGCAGAGCAAATTTGACGAGAACTGAACCGCAGCACATGCTGGCTAGGCTAGCAATTAAATCCCCTTCAGACCCGAACACTGCCTAAATGCGTCATTCGGCGAAAGAGACGTCGGCTGGCATCCCACGCAAAGACTTGAATCAAGTTGGCCGGATTTCCACA